TGGGAATAAATCCCCCACATGTCTGTCAGTTTGTCCTACTGTAGGGGTTTGTGTGTTGCTGTGATGCTGGAAACTATGCCACTGGTATTCAGAGACTAGCAGGGTCATCCATGGCAGATAGGTTTCAACTGAGCTTCCAGACTAAGACAGATGAGGAAGAAGGACCCTCCAGTTTACTTCTGAAAGGAATTAGCCAGTGAAAACTTTATGAATAGCAGCGAAACATTGTCTGATATAGTGCCGGAAGATGAGCCCCCGAGGTTGGAAGGCACTCAAAAGACAACTGGGGAAGAGCTGCCTCCTCAAAGTAGAGTCAACCTTAATGACATGAATGGAGTCAAGCTTTTGGGACCTTCATTTGCTGATGTGCATGATTCAAAATGAGAAGAGACAGCTTCAAATATCCATTAATAATTAGAACATGGAATGTACGAAGTACGAATCTAGGAAAACTGGAAATCATCAAAAATGAAATAGAATGCATAAACATTAATATCCGAGGCATTAGTAAGCTGAAATTGACTGGTATTGGCCATTTTGAGTCAAACAATCATATGGTCTACCAGGCTGGGAATGACAACTTGAAGAGGAATGACGTTGCATTCATCATCAAAAAGAGCATGTCAAGAGCTATCCTGAAGTACAACGTTGTCAGTGATAGGGTAACATCCATACGCCTACAAGGAAGACCAGTTAATACAAATATTATTCAAATTTATGCACCAACCACTAAAGTCAAAGATGAAGAAATTGAACATTTTTACCAGCTTCTGCAGTCTGAAATTGATCAAACATGCAATCAGGATGCATTGATAATTACTGGTGATTGGAATGTGAAAGTTGGAAACAAAGAAGAAGGAACAGTAGTTGGAAAATATGGCCTTGATGATAGAAACGATACTGGAGATTGCATGATAGAATTTTGCAAGACCAATGACTTCTTCATTGCAAATACCTTTTTTTTACCAACATAAATGGCTACAATACATGTGGACCTCGCCAGGAGGAATATACAGGAATCAAATCGACTACATCTGTAGGAAGAGAGACGGCAAAGCTCAGTATTATCAGTCAGAACAAGGCCAGCGGCCAACCGTGGAACAGACCATCAATTGCTCATATGCAAGATCAAGTTGAAACTGAAGAAAATTAGAACAAGTCCACCAGAGCCCAAGTACGACCTTGAGTATATCCCACCTTAATTTAGAGACCATCTCAAGAATAGATTTGATGCGTTGAACACTAATGACTGAAGACCAGACGAGTTGTGGAATGACATCAAGGATATAATACATGAAGAAAGCAGTAGGTCATTAAAATGACAGGAAAGAAAGAAAAGACCAAAATGGATGTCAGAAGAGACTCTGAAACTTGCTCTTGAATATCAAGTAGCTAAAGTAAAAGGAAGAAAGGATGAAGTAAAAAAACTGAACAGAAGATTTCAAAAGGTGGCTTGAGAAGACAAAGTATTACAATGACATGTGCAAAGAGTGGGAGATAGAAAACCAAAAGGGAAGAACAAGGTCGGCATTTGTCAAGCTGAAAGAACTGAAGAAAAAATTCAAGTCTCAAGTTGCAATAGTGAAAGATTCCATGGGGAAAACATTAAGGAAGCATCAAAAGAAGATGGAAGGAATACACAGAGTCATTATACCGAAAAGAATTGGTTGATGTTCAACCATTTCAAGAGGTAGCATGTGATCAGGAACCAATGGTACTGAAGGAAGAAGTCCAACCTGCGCTGAAAGCATTGGTGAAAAACAAGGCTCTAGGAATTGATGGAATACCAACTGAGATGTTTCAACAAATGGATGTGGCACTGAAAGTGCTCATTCGTCTATACCAAGAAATTTGGAAGACAGTTACCTGGCCAACTGACTGGAAGAGATCCATATTTATGCCTATTCCCAAGAAAGGTGATCCAACCGAATGTGGAAATTATAGAACAGCATCATTAATATCACACGCAAGTAAAATTTGGCTGGATTCAGGCTGGATTCAGAAGAGGACGTGGAATTAGGGATATCATTGCTGATGTCAGATGGATCTGGCTGAAAGCAGAGAATACCAGAAAGATGTTTACTTGTGTTTTATTGACTATGCAAAGGCATTCGACTGTGTGGATCATAACAAATTATGGATAACATTGCAAAGAATGTGAATTCCAGAACACTTAATCGTGCTCATGAGGAACTTGTACATAGATCAAGAGGCAGTCGTTCGAACAGAACAAGGGGATATTGCATGGTTTAAAGTCAGAAAAGGTGTGCATCAGAGTGATATCCTTTCACCATGCTTATTCAATCTGTATGCTGAGCAAATAATCCAAGAAGCTGGACTATATGAAGAAGAACAGGGCATCAAGATTGGAGGAAGACTCAATTAAAAACCTGAGTTATACAGATGACACAGCCTTGCTTGCTGAAAGTGAAGATGACTCAAAGCACTTACTGATAAAGATCAAAGATCACAGCCTTCAGCATGGATTACACCTCAACATAAAGAGAACAAAAATCCTCACAACTGGACCAATAAGCAACATCATGATAAACGGAGAGAAGATTGAAGTTGTCAAAGATTTCATCTTACTTGGATCCACCATCAACATCCATGGAAGAAGTAGTCAAGAAATCAAAAGACGCATTGCACTGGGCAAATCTGCTGCAAAAGACCTCTTTAAAGTGTTGAAGAGCAAAGATGTCAGCTTGAAGACTAAAGTGCACCTGACCCAAGCCATGGTATTTTCAACCACATGATATGCATGCGAAAGCTGGACAATAAATAAGGAAGACCGAAGAAAAATTGATGCCTTTGAATTATGGTGTTGGCAAAAAATACTGAATATACCATGGACTGCCAAAAGAATGAACAAATCTGTCTTGGAAGAAGTGCAGCCAGAGTGCTCCTTAGAAGCAAGGATGATGAGACTATGTCTTACATACTTTGGACGTGTTATCAGGAGGGATCAGTCCCTGGAGAAAGACATCAAGCTTAGTAAAGTAGAGGGAAAGTGAAAAAGAGGAAGACCCTCAACGAGATGGATTGATCACAGTGGCTGCAACAATGGGCTCAAGCATAACAACGATTGTGAGCATGGTGCAGGACCGGGCAGTGTTTTGTTCTGTAGTACATGGGGTCGCTATGAGTCAGAACGAACTCGACAGCACCTAACAACAACAACTACAGGATAATAAATCAAAGTATAAGCAATCCTGAATCAAATCTATTCTCACCCACCCTTAAACCTGGACCAGATTTGTAATCTGGGTTTGCTCCCATGCCTGTAGATAAAGCACTTGAAAATGGTAGCCATTTTTTTACTTTATCTGTCAGACTAGGAGAACATCCCAGGGTTTTATTCCTGCCTCTGTATTTCTGACAGGTCACTATCCTAGTCTGCCTTGTAATACAACTATTTGAGAATGGGGTTGGAGTCCTTTGTCAAATTGTCATTTCCTTTAGAAAAGGTCTTACTCCTATTACATGTGGTATTCCCCAATGGCATGCCGTGCCTATACTGGGTTGCACAGTATGATACATTAAATCACCTGACTTAGGGAAGAAACATCTTGACAGAAGAGCATGGCCAGTGGCTCCCTCAAATGCTTATATCCTTAGGCAAATTGTATGATCTCTCTAAGCATTATAAAATGAGAATTGTCATAGTTTTACAGCCCATAGATGCCATGGATATTAAATAAAATAGCAAGGGGAAGTGCCTGACATAAAGATGGCCCTTAAGAAATGTTCTTTCTATTATGCTTCATATTTTTTGTGTCCTATCTAAGATAATGGAGTCCCTGGGTGATGTAAACTGTTAACACATTGGGCTGCAAGCTGAAAGGCTGGAGGTTGAGTCCACTCAAAGATGCCTCAGAAAAAAGGAATGCCAGGTGATCTACTTTCTAAAAATTAGCCCCTGAAAACCCTGTGGAGCAGAGTTCTACTCTTCTGACACACATGGAGTCGCCATGGGTGGGAATCAACTCCGTGGCAACTGGTTCTGGTCCTACTCTTTTCTCAGCATTCCTCCTCTTTCAAAGGAGGTCACATAAGATCAATTTTCCCTCTTCCTGTAGAAGCAAATTAGAACCCTGTCAGCTGATGCCCTGCACATTCCCACCTTGGAAGCAGAGAGAAGCATGGAGAGGGAGGTGGAAATACAGATCACAATGGATATCAGAATGCAACAGGTTGGGAGTGACAGTGGCTGAAATGCATAGAAAAAAGAGTTACTTTAGGCTTGGAATCTGTGGGACATCCAAAAACCTTTTTTCTGTTAGAAATGCATGCATGGTCAAGCCCCAGCAGTCCTTTCTCTTTGTTCCTTCATAACAAACAAATGGTGTTCCCTAAGTGGTGTCAGACTTTGTAGGAATTTGGGGCATGGTCAACAATATCAACACCAACACTGAAGCAACATTGCCTTAATAGGCACCAGGCACTGTGCTAGGAGCTTTGGGAGAGGATGCAGACCTGGCACAGTCGGGTGGGAAAGAGAAAGCTTCCCAAGGAAGGTGAATATGTGGAGGCGTCCGAGGCAGATGGTAGAAACGAGAGAACATTGGCACTACCAAGTTGAAAAACTCTGATCCCCAGACTGTTTGGACAGCCTGGTTTGCCATCCTCCTCCGACTCCCACTCAAAGCCCTCCAAAGAAGGGAATAGACTTGCATTATTTTAATTCTATTCTCTTCTATGCCCTAGAGCGGCGAGAGCTCAAATGCGTGGTACTTGAGTCAGAAACGTAGGCCAGGCGCGCGGGTCCCGCTGCAGGCTGGGGCTGGTGGCAGGAAGCGGGTCCAGGATGACGCGACGGAGACCGGGGGCGGCGAGGTGACGCGAGCCGGGACCGCGCCACCTCAGCCCACGTGTCCAAGAGATTTAAAAGTTGGCGGCGCGGGGAGGTCAGTCTGGCTGCCTAGACCAGCTCGCGACGCTCGGGGGACGCAGAGGCACCGCCAGGGGTACTGAGCCTAGAGCCACCTGTAGGCGCAGATATGTCGCGAACAGCAAGCCGCCGCCCCGGGCCGCCCCCCAGGCAAGTGGCCGCGGCGTCCCCTCTCCTCCTGGTGCTGCTGCTGATTACCTGCAGCCCGGACGCCTGCCAAGGTAAGGCGGCCCACGCCCGGCGCCTCTTGGGTCCCGGGGCCGCTGTCCCGCGCTGCGCCCTTCTCGCTCCTCTCCCCTGCTCCACTCTCCGCTCTCCCTTCCCTCCCTTTCTCTGCTCTTGGCTTCAGGGACTTTCTTTACCCTCGTACTGCAAGGCTTCCTGGTTTCTCACGCTTGACTTCAGAGCATGGCGACAGGCGCGGGTCGCCACACCAGCGCAGCCAGCGACGCAGGTGCCTCTGACCGGGCTCCATCGCGTTTCGGGGCTCCGGGTGAAATTCCCAGTCCCGCGCCTTGGCGCCTTAGAAAAGACCCAGGGCAGGCTGCAGTTGGTGGAAACCTGAGCAGGACTCCCGCAGACTCGGGATTTCCAGCCCCCGTGGCTCATGGATAACGGGAATTAGAACAGTGAGAATTAAAATGTTTTTCCTTTGATTGCAATTATTGGAGAGACTGATGGTTGAAGCTTAAATAAGCGTGCGTTTGTTATTTCGCCTGCTGATGCGACGTAAACTTGTGGAGCGTTCAACTTCTTTGGTTAGTGAGCTCGTGTCTGTTCAGATAACCCCAAGCAGTGAAACAAGCCCCATCCTAGCCGTTTAGGACGGTAAAATAGTGGGCTCTGTGCCTGGTAGGTTTTCAGGCACCGGATCAGGAAAAGAATAGAGACTTTACCCTCACGCAGAGTTGGAGGGGCAGTGTGCAAGTGGGACTTACAGTCAGTGCTCCAGCTAAAGCCAGTTAAGGCGTATGCGATTTGACAACAGTAGGGACCTCCTGAGATTGGGTTAGAGGACAGAAGCAGGAAAAGAAAGGTCAGCGACAGAAGGTCTGAAGCTTGGGAGACCTGTCAGAGCAGAGCACAAGTTCCAATGGAGAGATCGTTTCACTCCATTCCCTAAAAGTTACCACGTTTTCATGAACTTTGGTGGGGTGGGGTGGGGGTTGGGGCCTAGCATCCATAGCCAAGCTCCAGCCACTGCTCTGCTACCACCATGAATTTTCGAGCTTCACAGCAGTTTCTCTTAGCTTCCCTCTGCTGTCCTATCAGTGGGGTAAAGGTGGATAGACTGTTACACCATTGTTCATGTAGTTGGGGACTTAAAAATCATAACTGCGGAGACCTTTCAGATCATGTAGCCCAGTTTTCAGTTCTGTTGTTCTTGTTAGTTGCCTTTAAGTAGCCTCCAACTCATGGTGACTTTATGTATAATGGAACAAAATCATTACATGCCAAGTCCTGTGCCATCTTCATGACCATCCACATGTTTGAGTCCATTGTTGGGGCCACTGAGTAATGCCTTCCAACCTAGGAGTTCATCTTCCAGCACTACATTGAACAATATTCTGTAGTGGTACATGAGGTTTTCATTGGCTAATTTTTGGAAGTAGATCACCAGACCTTTCTTCCTAGTCTCTCATAGTCTGCAAGCTCCCTTTGAAACCTGACGGTGATGAGTCATCCTGCTGGTATTTGACATACTGGTGGCATAGCTTCCAGCAACATAGCAACACGCAAGCCACCACAGTATGACAAACTGACAGATGGGTAGCAGGTCTGAGGCTATCATTCTTTTCCTAATCTATTTATTTTTATTTCTGTCCTTTCATTGTTTTTATTTTATCCTTTTCTTGAGGCACTGGGTGGGGGTGGAAGGGGCTCCCATGTTTGAAAAGAAAGGTAATTTGTCTTTGAAATCAAAGCAATCAGATGCTAGGAGAACTCAACCTTCTCTATCACATAGCCAACAGTGATAAATCATGATTTATGCAAAATAATGTCAATCCTTTTTGATTTTTTATTTATTATGGATAAAATTAGAGTGGTATCTTTATCTGCCCTTTGAAGGAAGCAGATAATCATTGTTGTAAAAGTGGCTTTGTTATGTAAAGCAAATGTGCTTTCCATGCAGGTTACATGCATATGTTTGCAGTGGTTTTGCATGAATGGGAGGTAACAACTGCTTTTTTTTGGAGGGAGAGAGGGAGATGGGCGGGGGCGGTTCACCAGGAGTTACTGGGGTTTGAGCAGTAACTATGAAAGTGAGGAGGTTGAGTGGGAACTGGCTCCTTAAAAAAAGAAAAAAAAAAGTCTTGGGTTTCATTTCCAAAAATGGCATATCTGTTGGCAGACCAATTGGCTTATAAATATCACCAATATTTTTCAAGCAAAGGCATGAGAAACCTCTTTCACTACCCTTAAACCTTAGACTGTCCCTTTGCGCCTTCTCTCCCCCTTCAGAACTGCTCTTAATACTTAAAAACTAATTTTATCTCTCTAAAAATGTGATGGAGATCAGAGAGGGCGAATATACAATATGATCTGCCCTAGTCATGTGTCCCTAAAGATGGCCCTGGAAGGAAAGCCTGACATAAGTAGAACTGAGATAATCTAGCAGGATGAATCATTATGCAAGGTGCAAGTGGGCATATCTAAAAACAACAAAACAATGTGCAAAGCCAAGGGGTGGAAAATAGTGCTAGTAAGTGCAGCATCCCTGGCAAAAATGAGTTAGCAGAGCAAACAATAGCTATGAGAAAATAAAGGGCCAACCACAGATTGGGTGGATGGAAACAGCTTGTTATTCAGAGAACATTCCTGAAGAAAAGAAGGAAAATTCCTATAAGAGGGGTGCATTTTAGATTATTGTTGCTGTTACTAGATGCCATTGAGTCAGTTCTGACTCATAGCAACCCTAGGTACAACAGAATGAAACATTTCATGGTCTTGTGCCATCTGCACAATCATTGCCAACATGAAGGGCTCATCTTCTGGCACTCTATCAGTCTTCTGCTGCTATTCACAAGGTTTTCACTGGCCAAGTTTTTCAGAAGTAGACCGCCAAGTCCTTCCTCCTAGTCTGTCTTAGTCTGGGAGCGCTGCTAACACCTGTCCGCCATGGGTGACCCTGCTGGTATTTGAAATACCGGTGGCATAGCTTTCAGCATCACAGCAACATGAAAACCCCCACAGTACAACAAACGGACAGACGAGTGGTGAACATTTTAGATACCTGCGACAAACTGCCCCTTGATTTTGTTGGTGAAAATAAGGTTCAAGCTTCTAAGACTAAATTGAGAAGTGTCTTTTCTTACCCAGGAATTATGCTCATTGAATAATTCTTAAAATTCAGTCAGCAGTAGCAACTTCTCACTTCTGAATCCTACGCTAGTTAAATACTAGCAGTGAGAAAAGAAAATTGGCACCACTTTTAGAATAATCAAGTCTGTTTTTCTTTCTCTTACACATAGTGTATTTACAAACACACAAGCTGTCTGAACATATTATTCATGTCACTTAGTTAGATACCAACAAAACCCGTTGCCGTTGAATCTTTTCCAAGTAATAGAAACCCTAAAAGGCAGAGCAGAACTGCCCCATAGGATTTCCAAGGCTGTAATCTTTATGGAAGCAGACTGCCCATCTTTCTCCCACGGAGCGGCTGGTGGATTCGAATCACTGACCTTACGGTTAGCAGTTGAATGCTTAACCACTGCAACACCAGCACTCCTTACTAAGTTATATAGCACAGTATAAGACTGAAGATTTCTCCTTACTAGCTAGTCCTGAAGTATAATACCTTGAGGAAAGGGATCAATCAAAACTGCAGTTTTTATGAGGTAGAATATAGTGGCATTGTTTCTGACACTATTTGGCATAGTAATCTAAGTAGTGCTTTTTGATAGAAGACAGCCCACATTCAGGATATCTTGGGAGGAAAATCACATCAACAATTGACTAATGGGGGAATTTCTCCCTTACTTTGGTTTCAGTTATAGGGTATTAGTGATCATCCATAAGTTATAGAGAAAAATTTTTTTTTAATTTCTACTTCTCTACTTCTCTTCTTTTTACCCTGAGACTGTCTTTACACGTTTTGTGTAAAACTCACAAACTGCCCCTTTTTCATGTCATATAAGTGCATGGGATGAAGTTAGTCATAACAGCAATATAAGCAGCTCATGCAACTTTGGGGACATGGTACCCTGATATCCTGATCTTCCTAATGCTTGGTATCACAGAAAATGTAGTTAATTACTGTTGTTGTGATTATTATTATTATTATTAGAATATAAATAAACTAATAGTAGAAAGTTCTGTGAACCCAAGGGAAAGCTTGACTGAAAAGTAAGAGAATTAAGAGAAAAAAAAAATCTGTCTGGATTTGGAGTCAGCTGGACCTGGTTTGAAATCTCTCTTTGCTACTTATCTATGTGACCTTGGACAAATTACTTAGTCTTTCATTGCCTCAGTTTCCTCATCTTAAAATGGAAATTAATAATTAGTATCTATCTTGAAAGGTTGTTGTGAAGGGTAAAGAATATAACCTATATAAAATGCTTAGCATAATGCCTGGCATTAAGTAAATGCCCAAATCAATGTTAGTAAGTGCTATCTTATTATTATTAAAAAAAAGAAACGTTCTTGGAGTCCCTTGGTGGTACAAACAGTTAAATACTCGACTATTAGCCAAAAGGTTGGCAGTTTGAACCCACCCAAAGGCGCCTCAGAAGACAGGACTGGCAATCTGTTTCTGAAAGGTTACAGCCTTGAAAACCCTATGGTGCAGTTCTACTCTGCACACACGGGGTCACCATGAGTTGGAATCAACTCAAAGGCAACTAACAACAACAACAGGTTAAGTAAAACATTTACTAAGATTTAAAAAAAGTTCTTTTCTTTAAGACTATTTTTTTTAAGTGTTTAATTTTGCTACATTTGAAATTTTAGAAAAACTTACCATCTATCATTACAGGACTTATTATTGTTTTTAGTAAAGATAAATATATTCCCTCTCCACTTATTGATTTATCGACATGGTTAGGTTGCAAAGACCAGGTCATTATGTGAAATTGGCGTTGAGTGAAAAGGAAGGATGAATACATCAGATCACAAAATGGAGGATGACTACATCATTACATAACTGCTAAACCACTGAGAATCATGCTCCAGCCAAGTTGACGCATAACCTTAACCATCATAGCCAGCATTACTCTCACCTTGCACTTTGGCGTTCATTACTGCCAGACATACATCGTTAATGCACAAAATAGTCAGATAGTAGATTTTTTACTATTGTTATAAATGAGAAATGTCTGATAATGAGATAGTCAATAAGTGAGGAGAAAGTGTATATAGATAAGAAAATAAATAGCAATCACATTCAAATATTAATAAAAACCTCAAAATATTGAGATTATATTCATAATTTGTTGATGTTGGTTGCCATGCGCTGGAACTGACTCCATGGCAACAGTTCCAGCTCATGGCAACCTCATATGTGCAGAGTAGAGCTGCTCCACAGGCTTTTCAAGACTGTAACCTTTCAGAAGCAGATCACCAGATCTATCTCCTGAGGCACCTCTGGGTGGGTTTAAACTGCCAACCTTTCTGCTAGTAGATGAGCACTTAACCATTGCACCACCCAGGGACTCCATATTTATCATTTACATAGTATGAATTATAAAATTAAACCTATGCTTATTGTTGGTAATTGCCCTCGATAAACCTATGCAGCAAATATTATTTTAGATGATGTAAGCAAATTAAAACTTATTTTAATAACAATGAAAGCCCTGACAAATAATTTATTCTTATTTTTAAAGAGCTTTATTGAGATATATTTTACATACCATAAAATGTACTTGTTTTTAAGTATACAGTTCAGTGATTTTTAGTAGATTTACAGAGTTGTGATGCTATGGTGACAATACAATTTTCGAATGTTTTTGTCACCTTCAAAAGATCCATCAAGCCTGTCTTAGTCATCTAGTGCTGCTATAACAGAAATACCACAAATGGATGGTTTTAACAAAGAGAAATTTATTTCCTCACAGTCAAAGTAGGCTAAAAGCCAAATTCAGGGTGTCAGCTCCAGGGGAAGTCTTTCTCTCTCTGTCGGCCTTCTCATCAGTGTTCCCCCAGACTAGGAGCTTCTCTGCACAGGGACCCCTGTTCAAAGGACGCCCTCTGCTCCTGGCATTGATTTCTTGATGGTATGAGGTCCCCCTGTCTCACTGCTCACCTCTGTCTTTTATATCTCAAGAGATTGCCTCAGGACACAATCCAGTCTTGTAGATCAGGTCCTGCCTTACTAACACAACTGCCACCCATCCTCCCTCATTAACATCACAGAGGCAGGTTTACAACATACGGGAAAATCACACAGTACCAGGAATCATGGCCCAGCCAAATTGATACACACATTTTTTGGGGGACATAATTCAAACCATGACAATGCCCATTTGCAATCAATCCCTGTTGCTACCCCCACCCAGATTTGCTTTTCTGGACATTTTATATAAATGGAATCATACAATATTTCGTCTTTTGTGTCAGGCTTCTTTCACTTAGCATAATGTTACTGAGGTTCATCCATGTTGTAGCATGTAACAGTAGTTCATTCATTTTTATGGCCATTGTATGGATATACTACATTTTGTTTATTCATTCACAAGTTGATGAGCATTTGGATTGTTTCCACTTTGGGCCTATTATAAATAATGCTGCCGTGAACATTCATGTACAAGTTTTTGTGTAGACATATAAGTAATTCATTCTTGAGAGTAATGTCATTGTAATGTTGTTAAGATTTCTTCAGCAATTATGTCTCCTTATGCTAAGTCAAGTGCTGAAATTTCAAGTCCAAATAAGAGGGTAGTAGTGTACAGTAAAATATGAGAAATAATCTCTGGAAAGGAATTACAAAAGGACGAAGACTATGAAATTAACATATGGGTATAATTTTATTTTTAGGTGCTCCAATATTACCTCTAGGATTACAGCCAGAACAAGAACTACAGCTATGGAATGAGGTAAAGAATTATTTTCACATACATCAGTGGAAATTTTACCCTTTCTTGAAATTAACATGGTAAAATGAAATAATATAATTGAGCTTTGGGCCAACTCTGATTTTACCAACACTCTGCTATCATTATATTCAGAATTATCACTTTTATTAAATAAAAGAGAAGGAAAGATGAAAAGAAATAAAAAATAGTAAATGGTAAAGTATGATGGCAGAAATAAGTTCTAATAATAGATTAATTACAATAAATGTGATTGTGTTAAAACACACCACTTAAGAGACACAGACTCTCAGATTGAATTAAAAAAAAATGCAACAATATGTTTTCTATAAGAGGCATAATTAAAACAGGAAACAAAAAAAGACTAAGCATAAAAGGATGGAAAATGATGCACCAAGCAGATATGAACTGGAAGAAAATTGGAGTAGCCGTCTCAATATCTGATAAAATAGAATTCAAATGAGGAAACCATCCTAACAGACAAAGAGGGATGTTATATGCTGGTAAAAAGAACAGAGCAAGGAGATACAACCATCAGGAACATATATTAACAATGCAACCTTAAATTTTATTTAACAATTGATGTAACTTCAGGGAGAAATAAATAAATCAACAGTTTTAGTTGGAGATTTTAGTACATCTCAAAAACTGATAGTTAAAGCAGATCAAACATAAACAGATATATCAAAGATCTAACCATAAAATTAATAAATTTGAGCACTTAGATATATTTTTAAAACCTACGCCAAGTAGAATGTGCATTCTCTTTGAGCATACTTGGAGCATTAAAAAAAAAAAAAGTAGACCATGTGTTAGAACACAAAGGAAGCTTCCATAAATTAGAAAGTATTCGTTTCAAATGTTCTCTAACCATAATGCAATAAAATTAGGAATTAATAGTGAAAGTATAACTGGTAGAGCCATCTAGAAAGCAATCTGCATATCCTCATAATCCAGTACTCCCTCTCCTGACTATAGCCCAAAGATATGCTCCTACAGATCCATAATTGGAGGACAGATACAAGGAATACGATCAATGCTTTGTTTGTAATGAAAGGAATCATAGAGAACCCAGCTGTCCATCACAGGGGAGTGGATAGGTAACGTGGTGGTGCACATTATAGAATACAGCAGTGAGATATGACATACTAAATGTACATCCAGCAGCCTGGATATATCCCAAAACATTGCATTAAGTGAAAAGAAGTAAGAAAATACATTGATGCATACAAAACAGCAATACTGATTTTACAAGAACCTATACAAACATCAAACACATTAGAAGAGTTGCCGATGGGAGGATGGAATGGGAGTAGGAAAATGGAAACATAGGATGAATATATAAGTAAATAAAACAAGAGTAATGATGATAGTGAGCTATGAACAGAGACTATCCTTTGCACTTAAGCTACCACCCTAAAAAATACATCAGGGAAAAGATAAGACAGGTGATAAGGGCCCACATACTAAATAGTCTTTAAGAGTATTTATGAAGCTTATTATAAGGATCTCTGCTATGGTAGGATATCAAAATACATGCTAGAAAAACAAGATAAAGAGTAATTTAGGAGACAGATTGGAGATTAATGTATAGCACAGAAACCTTTATTTTTAGCTTGAAATCATTTATATTTCTGTGGGAAATCTCTGGGAAAATATTTTAGATGATAATTCTACAAGAAAACTCAAATAGATCGTAAAATCACTGTAAATTCTTTTACACAAAAAGATATTTGAAGGTATTAAAATGCTAAGAACATGTCATTAATTTTTCTGCTGGAGGTTTTAAAAATTACAGAGCTACTCAAACATTAGAAACACATACTTCTCAAACCATATATAGAGACATAACTATTGTCAAACAGGTTCACCAATGGACTCTACAGAGCTCTCAAAAGCATTTAATGGCACTCAAAACCATTAGGGCCATACACTGAGTAAAATAAATAAGTGCTTACTTAAATGGAAATGGAGTGATCCGGTGTTGCTGTGTCTTTCAAACAAAAGAACAAAGACTTAAAAGCCTTGCAATTATCTCCTAATTTGATTAATGGTTTCTTTTAATTCTGATGTTTGCATTCAAACATCAGACATGTTGATGCACTGGTTAGTTAGTTCTGAGGCTCAAGGGTTCTCTGTTCTTGGACATGAGCCACCTCAACAGATAGGTACCCTGGTCTATGAGTGGATGGCTTTCCCCTTGAGCTTGTAATGTCTTCAGGTACCAAGAGCCATAAACCTTTCAGGAGGAACCGCTTCCTGCTACCCTACTAGAACAAAGAAGATAACTTCTGGAGGTGATATATTTAGCATTGGTCAAAATTCAAAGCTTAAAATGATGTATTTGGGTTTTCCCCTCTCTATTGACTTCTCATTTTATTTTCTTCCACAAGTTCAATTCGGTTTAATTAAAGCATATTTGTTGAAGACTTACTCTGTTTAAGTTAGATATGATATAGTCCTTTCCCTCAAGAAGTTTACCAGTCTGTGTGTTTGTGCGCATGTGTGCCTTTGTGTCTATAATTCTGGGCTTGTGTCACATGGAAGAGGTAGCAGGAGGGCAGGTACAGGGGATGAGTGGAACAAAACAATTCCCCAAGTATCTGTGATACACAGAGAGAAGATGACACGTTTTGTAAGGATAAAAAGGAGGAGACATAGCTTATGCTTTTCTATAACTTTTTATACCTTTGTTACTCGGTTATTCTCAAAATTAGAGGACCATGCATTTTAGGCTATGTTCAGCTCGGAATAAGAAGCAATAAGCAATAAAAAGCTTGGGAGATTATGACTGAAGAATATAATAATCCCCCTCTCAGTGTGGTGTGAAAATGGAAATTAAACTGCTAAACAGAAGAATTTTGGGACAGGAAGCGGGCCTTGAGACATTATGCCATAAACAGGACTCAACCTAAATCATCCCAAACAGACAAGAATCAGTCCCTTTTTTTTTCCAGTCACACTTTAAAAGGCCTCCAGAAAAATAAATGCCATAAAACAACTCCAGACATCCAGCTTAGTGCATAACTTTTTAGCAGAATTCTTTTTTTTTAATGTTTAATATAAATCTCTTATACTACAGTTTAAAGTCTCTCTCGCCAGCTTTCTTTTTAGGTTAAAGGACGAGAACAGCCAGTTGCCAACTCCAGCTCAATAAACCTTCATTATAAAGTAGAACTCTTTTCTAATGCTGACTCCATGTTACCGAATTCGTAGATTGCCTATGTTGTGTAAGTTTTCACTGTATGCAGTTATGTTAATTTAGATGATGTGATGACATTCATGTGTGGTTAAAAAAAAAAACAAAACCGCATGATAACGGCATGCTCCTTAATTTAGAGGCCATACTTTAGTCACCTCTCACATTTCTCAAGCTGAATAGTACCCAAACATTTTTCCCTCACTGTATGAAGCCTCTTTATACTCTCTAGTGATCCTTATCATTATTATTGGAAACACATACCCCTGTTGCTAGGGGCAAATCTTGGGGAAATCCCAATTCCAGGATGTTTTTAGAAAGTTTAAGAGTCTCCTCTTTCCCAAATCAAGAGTCTTAAGCTGTCACAACTTCAATTAATGCTAAATAATAACTTGAATTTGTAAACTACCAAATTAATAAAGCCTCATTCTGTCAATTTTCTGCTATTTTCTGTCTCTTTCCAGGATGTAACTAGCATTTTTAAAAATTAAGGTGAAAATATACGTAACAAAACATACACCATTCAACAATTTCTACATGTACAATTCAGTGACATTGATTACATTCTTCAAGTTAGGCAACCATTATTGCTATCCTTTTCTAAGTTATTCCAACACCTTTAACATAAACTCAATGCCCCTTAAGCAAAAACTACCCTTTCCCCCTCCGTCTGGCCCCTGGTAACCACTAATAAACTTTGGTTTCTATATATTTAAGAAGCCCTGGTGGCGCAGTGGTTAAGTGCTCAGCTGTTAACCAAAGGGTCGGTGGTTTGAACTCACCAGTTGCTTAGCAGGAGAAAGATGAGGTGCTTCCATAAAGATTTATAGCTTTGGAAACCCTATGGGGCAGTTCTCGAACTCTGTCCTATAGGGTCACTATGAGTCGGAAATGACTCAACGGCAACGGGTTTAGATTTTTCTATATATTTGCTTATTTCATATCAGTAAGATCGTACAGTATTTGTCTTTTTGTGACTGACTTATTTTGCTCAGCATAATGTTTTCATCCATGCTGTGGCATGCATCAGGACTCCATTCTCTTTATAGCTGAGTAGTATTCCATTGTGTTCAGGTAACACGTTTTGTTAATCCATTCATCTGTTGATGGAGTAACTGGCATTTTTGTTTTCTACAGATAGATGATACTTGTTCATCTTTCCTGTTTACTGAGTCTTGGCCTCAGGTAATTCCAATTAGAGGTGTTTTGTAATAATGTAGGCATTTGTGTAATGCTGAAATACTCATTTCTCCATTTGGACCTGTCATTGCTTTATGGATTTATCAAAACATGTCAACATATTAGAAATTATTATAGCCTCTGCAGGTATTAATCGATGCTATGGGCTTATGTTGTAAGCTTTTATCTCCAAATAAAATAAATTTGTGGATAATATATGCATATTTTGGAAATCGTGTAATGTCAAATTAAAATGATAATTTCAAAATTAAATTCTGTGTTAAGTTAAAAAATAATGTATATATTGCTATATTTTGTGGCAGATATACCTCTCACCAAGTTGAATCTGAAACCCACTGAAGAGCGAGATTTACTGAGTCAGACATATGGAGATTAAACTATCATCATTATAACTGAAGAGTCGGTTGGTGAATGTGGCTTTAGATCTAATGCCAAGTGTGTTTGTTAAAACTACCCCCAGAATTAAACTTACCTGCGAGTCTCAGAACATGATTCTGGGCCTCTCGCCAAAGTCAAGTTTTCTGCCACAGGGCAGAGACCAGACAAGAACTGCAGACCAGACTGCTGATTCCCAGAGAGGAAAGGGCTGAACTGAGCATGCCCAATTTCCTTCTCACAGTTCACCTATTGGACAACTCACTTCTCTTCCCATAGGAAAGAGCAAAGAGAGGGCTGGGCAGAAAGGCCAGGATATTAGTGTAGCTCCTTTCCATGGAAACAAGAGGATCGTTTCCTCCTTACACTGTCTTTACTGGAAGATGCTGCTTCTGTCTGCAGCTCTATCTCTGAGCGAAGGTAGAACAGAGTTTGTCTTAGTGCCTTGACTCTTCTACCACCAGTCTCCTGGACAGAGAAGAGGGCTCAGTAGAGGTTCCTGGCTCTAGCCCTTCCAGAGCAATGAGCTTTATGACTGGGGTGTACCCCCTACAAGATCTGGCCAAGGTACCCTGGTCATTGTTCACTCCCGCAGTCCTTCCAAAGTGTCATCCTGGCTAGTTTGGAGAAGCAGTCTTGTGTAGTCTGCTGTATTTGTCCTACCTTAACCTGTTCCTCAATCTGCAGAGGATCATGTGCAGGAAGTTTAGAGGCATTAGGTGATAAAGAAAGACCAGGATCAAAATAGATGACTTTTATGAAGAATATCTGAAATTACTCAAAGAATGTTGACTGATACAAAACATGTGATGGATTTTATTCACCATACAAGCTTTGGCATTTCATTTAAAAATTTAGGAACATCCCAGAATTACGTTTATTTCTGCAGTAGTAGGAGGGTGAATTTTAGAGCACACATCTAAACACCATCAAGATAAACTAAGCTTTTATTGGATTTGGATACTATGTACCTTTCAGAAGACTAAATTACTACTAAATCTTTTTCATCAACTGATAAAATTTTAAGGAGCCCTGGCAGTGCAGTGGTTAACTGCTCGGCTGCTAACTGAAAGATCAGCAGTTTGAACCCACCAGCCACTCCACGGGAGAAAGATGTGGCGGTCTGCTTCCATGAAGATTTACAGCCTTCGAAATCTTATGGAGCAGTTTTACTCTGTCCTGTAGGGTTGCTATGAGCTGGAATTGACTCAACAGCAACTGGTATGGGATACAATTTCTAAAACACCATTAATTTTCACATTATTATTTTATTATTTATGTAATTATTAGAACAAAGTTTTAAAACTTTTTTACCAAAAAGAAAATGAAAGACCCATAAGTTAAAAAGTAAAATATGAAATTTTTAGTTTAAGAAAAATTTTAAAGAATAGTTGTAGCTCAGTGAATAAAGGCTTCTTGTGAAGAGGAGCTGGGAAAGTGCTTTCATTTTTAAGCCTCTTTTGTTTGTTGCCCAAGCCTCATCCTGTTTAGAAGCTGTTTTCTAAGATGAAACTGATATTTCTGAATTTATTCTTCTTTGAGTTAAGAGCTGCATCTTTGACACATAACATCAGTACATATTTTGTTTTTATTTTGCAGCATTTCTAGATGGGCTGTAAAAGGAAGTTGAGGGGATTTATTTCTAGATTTTTATAGGGTGATCTATATACCCATCCCTGAAGGGGAAAAAGTGGTAAAGGATGTATCAGTGTTCACACTTTACTTTTTCTCCCATCGAACTCCCAGCATAGGTTAAACAGTCAATTCCAATGGACTATCTATAGGTCAGAGGACCTCGTTCCTGGGCTACACTCTACCAACTACTAGCCATGTGGTATTGGGCAAGTGACTTAATCTCTTATACTCTTATAGCCTTACTTCTGCTCTCTACACATGAGAATAACAATTTCTGTCCTATATATCTCACAGCTGTGTTGTAAGGACAGAATGGGATTATGCATATGAAAGTGCTTGTGATTTACTGAAGTACTACATAAATATGCACCATCAAATATTGTTGATCAATATCCCAACAATTTGCATGGCAGGCAAATAAATGGAAAAGAACAAAGCAGATCTCTGATGCTGAGAAGGATTCACAGAGAAACTGTTTCATAACTCCAACTGTATCCCTAACCACAGCCAACCCTGTTAAGCCAACCATGTTGTTCAAAGGATGAGAGTATAAGCAGCCCTGAACAACCCTTTTAACTCTTGAGGTGGTGTATCTTCTAAGTTAAGAGTGATTGCAGATGTAAATCAAGCTTTGCAGGTGACACATTTTTTTAAAGCTTCTATTGTTAACTAATTGCTATGTACCTGGCACTGTGCTAAGAACTTTGCCTACATTTAATCCTTCCAAGAACTCTCTGCAGTGATGTTGTCATCCCTGATTTATGGCTGAAGAAATTGAAGTCTAGAGAGATTAGGTAACCAGCCCAAGGTAACACAGCGAATAAATAGCAGAAATGGAATTTGCACTGCTATAGAAGTGCAGGCTGTCCAGCTCCTTAGTCCATGCTTTTAACCACTAATTATATTGCTCCCCTCACTGTTCCAGCTCCTCATTACATCCAAAATGCATTTATTAAGTAATCAATTGTCCATGGTACTACTCTGCTGAATGCTGTGCAAAAGCAGGTTTCGCCCGTGCTTGTCCATTTGTGCTGCTCCCTACCACACCCAGCTGGCTGCTAACCACAAGGAGCCCTGCCCTACTTCTGCTCTTGAATGCTTTGAAAAACCTAATCCTAGGGTGTGCAGTCAGCATCCAGGAAGGGTAGTACTCAGATTAGGTGCACCATGCAGGGATTCTTCCAACTCCCATTGTTTGCAAGCAATTGCAGGATTTTCAAATTAGCCAATAATGAGTAATATTCATCCAGGCTCACAGCGTTGGCATGTAGATGCAGACTTTGCTACAAACTGGAAAGAATAATCCCTCTTTTGGTACTGCTCTGGTTACTTAGTCATAGAATTTCATGAAATCTTAGTGAATACAAAAAACTATGTGTGTGAACGACAGTGGAAGCCTTAATCAGTGCATATGTACAGTACATAGCATTTTATCTGGTCCAAAGTAAGATTTATTTTTAGCAGCCAAGTTTTTGTCATAAGAGAAATCGAAGGATTCCAACACAGTTTTAATGGACCACAGAAGGATTCTATTCCAGGTAGTTGGACTATCCTTGTGCTACTAACATTCCATAATTATATCCTCTATCCAAATGTTGTGAAACCAGAGCATGGTCCATGTATCTTCTCATTTCCACTAGGCACCCAAAGCATTGGAGGAGCTTTGCTTTATGATTATGGGGATTCTACCAAAGCCTCAGGTAAGGCTAAAATAGTATTTTGTTTGTAGGCAAAGAATTGCTCAGTGATTTCTTGGAATTCCTCCTTGAAGAAAATGTGACCAATTTAGGAACAAGCTAAGAGGAAAGTAGTAGAGGATATGTTGATTTTAAATAAGAAACAAATACTGCAGTGTCTCTGACAACTGAGAACTTAGGGTCATATTTTTTTTTTCTCTTTTTTTATTGGTATACTTTAAGTGAAAGTTTACAATTCAAGTTGGTCTCTCATACAAAAATTTATACATACATTGTTACGTGACCTTAATTGCTCTCCTTATACTGTGACAGCACACTCCTCCTTTACATCCCTGATTTCCTGTGTCCGTTCAACCAGCTCCTGATCCTCTCTGCCTTCTCATCTCACCTCTGGACAGGAGTTGCCCATTTAGTCTCATGTATCTACTTGAGCTAAGAACCACACTCCACGAGTATCATTTTATGTCCCGTAGTCCAGTCTAATCTTTGTTTCAAGGGCTGGCCTTGGGAATGGTTTTATTTTTGGGTTGACAGAGAGTCCAGGAGCCATGCTTTCTGGGGATCCTCCAGTCTCAGTCAGACCATTACGTCTGGTCTTTTTACTAGAATTTGAGTTCTGCACTCCACCTTTCTCCTGCTCCATCAGGGACTCTCTGTTGTGTTCCCTGTCAGGGCGGTCATTGGTGGTAGCTGGGCATTGTTTAGTTCTTCTGGTCTCAGGCTGATGCAGTCTTTGGTTTATGTGGCCCCTTCTGTCTCTTGGGCTAATAGTTTCCTTGTGACTTTGGTGTTCTTCATTTTCCTTTACTCCAGGTGAGTAGGGACCAATTGATGCGTCTTAGATGGCTGCTCGCTAGTTTTTAAGACCTCAGACACCACTCACCAAAGTAGGATGCAGAACATTTTCTTAATAAACTTTGTTATGCCAATTGACCTAGATGTCCCCTGAAAGCATGGTCCCCAGACCCCTGCCCCTGCTACTCTATCCCTCAAAGTGTTTGGTTGTATTCAGGAAACTTCTCAGCTTTGGTTTAGTCCAGTTGTGCTGACTTCCCCTGTAGTGTGTGCTGTCCTTCCCTTCACCTAAGATAATTCTCGTCTACTATCTCGAGAACTTGGGGTCATATTAATGGAATTTATAGTCATCTAATTGGGAAATCCTATGCCCCGTCAATTGTAAGATGTGTTCCATTTCTGATGGGGGAAATTAGGGGTTATGCTGGCTTTATTTTCCTCCCTGATTCATACTACAATTGGAGAACAGATGCATCTTTCTAAGCTAGTAAGTATATATGATATGGCTCCTAGGTTAGGACGTTGTACTTTGTTAGAGAGAAGGACATAAATAATGCAAATAAAAAACAAACTGAATTGTCAATGTCAGTTTGAAACTGATAGTCTTACTATGGTGATTTGGTTTCTTATTAAAATTATTTGATTCCTTGAAGAACTTTTTGTCCTGAAGTGAGGATAGGTAGGAACTTGAAAAATGGTATCATGTACCATACCTCATTTTATATTCTATGTCTTATAAACAAATTTATTTTAAAACTACCCTATCAAGGAATAAAAGCCTCAAGTTTAGAATTACATTTGTCATTAGCAATTCTAATTTTACCTGTTATCATTGGTGTATACTCTTACTTCCATAATTTTCATATACAATAATTCAAAGAAACTTTGATAGTTTGAAGGTATGAATGGTTTCTGAAACTAAATAATATAAGTATTTATAACTAGATTTTCCCAGTGTTTTTAAATGATGAAATTCCCTCCCCAAAAATTAATTGACTTTTTTCCATAATTAACATAAAATGGAAGCATATTGACAATGGTGTTTATCCATGATCTTGCTTTTGTATTAAAAGCAAATGGGAACAAGAGAGGACAACAACAACGAAAGGAATGATATGACTGTTTATTTTTAAGAGATTTTTGGAGGGAGAGAGGAATATAGAAAAAATAATAGAAGAAAGCCAAAATAACTCATAATCTTATCATTTAGTGATAACAACTACTGACATTTTGATGTGATTTCTTCTAGTCTTTTTCTCTGACTATTCCATCGTGTGGTTACGTCATTACTACCCATTTCACCACTATTGAACATTCAGGATGTTTCCAGTTTTTTACTCTTAAGAATAATGATACAGTAATGATCTTTGTCCACATCTCTAATTATTCATAAGCAGTATTTAAGGACCCCTGGTAGTGCGTTGGTTAAGACTGCTAACCAAAAGGTCGGCAGTTGGAATCCACTAGCCGTTCCTTGGAAACCCTATGGCACAGTTCTTCTCTGTCCTATAGGGTCGCTATGAGTTGGAATCGACTCAATGGCAACGGGTTTGTTTGGGTTATTTACTTAATTTCTCATGTTATTTTTAGAGTAACATATGTCTAACCAATTCCATTTTCATATTTTATACAATGTATACATATCATATATGATGTGTTTTTTTAAATTATATGTATCTCCTTTCAACAGGAACCAGATAAAAAAGATAATACCAAAAGGGTAAGGTGATTTTCATTAATATATAAATAATAATAATCAAAAAAACCACTAATCATGTATAGTAAAGCTCACTCTTTTTTTTTTTTTTTTTTAACAGTTCTTATTTCATTATTCAAAGACACAGAAGTTGGGCAATTCAAATGTTGTGGTAAGTTGTAAAACTACTTTTGAGTAATCTCTACTGTTTATTTTTTTAAAAACTTGTTTTTACAGTTTAGTAGCACTAGATCAAAATTCATGTTTTTTTTACTTAAAAATGTATATGTGGATGAACAAATGGAATTCAAATTTTATTATCTATTAATTTATTCTATGTCAATAATTACATGAACATTAAATTCATTCATTCATTCAACAGTTATTTACTGAGTATCTACTATATGCCAGGCACAACTGAATGTACTATAAATACAGCGGTAAAAAAACCTAGAAAATTTAAAAAACAAATCCCTACTCTCATGAAGCTTATATTCTGGAGCCAAAAAAAGAATAAATAAGTAAAACATATTTACAGTATGTTTCAGATGGTGATTAGTACGAGGGAGAAATAGTTTTATCCAAAGGCATTTTAAGAATTATTTTAAAAGATAATTGTAAAAAGTGTAATTAAATGTAACTAGAAAAATTCTATTCCTAAGGTCGCCTTGTTAAGTAATTAGACATTTAATGTGAGTTTTACACTCTAAGATTAGCCAGAATCCAATATTTAAAATTCAGTTCACTTCTAAATCGTGTGTGTTTTAGTGGTAGTTTTTGTATATATGGATTTAAAAAAAAATGCTAACCAACCTACTTTAGTGTTTCAGTCTGAATACTTAGTTATCAATTGACTATCGTGTTTTTTTAAGATTTTAAAATTTTATTTATTCTTTTAAACTTTGAGTCTGAATTGACTCAATGGCAATGGATTTGGTTTTTTGGTTTACTATGGACCAATTTTTTTGGAGCCCTGGTGGCACAGTGGTTAAAAGCTATGGCTGCTAACCAAAAGTTGGCAGTTTGAATCCACCACCTGCTCCTTGGAAACCCTATGGGGCAGTTCTACTCTGTCCTACAGGGTCGCTATGAGCCAGAATCAACTCGACGGCAACGAGTTTGGTTGGTTGGTTGGTTGGTTTTTTGTTTTTTTTTGATATGGCCAATTTAGGAACTGAGGAGAATAGTGTATTTAAACATATGTGACCCGTGGAAACATAACTGTAAACTTAAACGCAGTTTTAAATGTTTATCACATTGAATATTCTTACCTATGAGGAATTGCCAGTTAGATTATACTAACTTCAAACCAAATGCAAGTTGAATCAGTTAACAGAAAGCCATTACATAGGACTTAAAGTAATCCATTTGATAAGCAATTTTAATACCACTGAGAAGGCTCAATTCAAGTCATTTCTTTATAATGAAACCATCTCAGGTAGCTACGTGTCTCAAACATGCTTTCATTTTCCTCAGCTCGGCGTCTTTACATTTTGAAAAACAAAGCATCTTAGTCACATATTTCACCATTACACATTGCCATATTTTGTGTCCCCTGTTATCCTGCTCCATACATTTCAATTTTAAATATAATTTGTAATCTATAAAGGAGATTATGTGCTGTATAATATTCAAGATAAATAATTTCATAATAGAAGACTAATTCTCACAGAGTTGGTTTCATCTGTCCCGAATCATTTTAAGTCCAGAAGCATACAGACTGTTTTTTGCCTCTCAAAGATGCAACGAGGTGTTTTACTTTCTGTCAGCTGATGATAAAGTTGAGGCTCCCAGGAAAGTGCTTCTTCAACATAATGACAAAGATTCTAGCATAGAGAGAATTTTATTCTCTCTCTTGGGCTTATTCTCCAGGGTTCTTTGAAGTGTTCACAAAGGGCTTAGATAACATCTTTCTTTTTATGTGTGAGCACATAAAGTAGGAAACTGTCTTTATGCCCAATGCTGAGAAGCTATTGTGCTCTTCATGTGTGTGTATTCGTGTCCTCTCAGTCATCTGTCCTGCATCCGTTGCTGCAGCTCATTCCTCAACTGCATGAGAGAAGAACGAAGAGATTCCAGGTAGACGTATGTAATGTAAACTGCATGCTTGCTCTGCCAGTCTGTGTGGGACAGCCCTTTCAGTTAATTCCCAGTTGTGGTGGTTTACTAAGTATTCTTCTATAGGATAAGCACCCCACCAGCACCTAGTTAGCCTATGTAAGAGCATCTATTTGCAGAGGTGTTTTCATACTTAGGAAGAAGAGAATTGTTCCCCCTCCACAAGTTATCTCTTTTCTATCTCAAGCTGTGGGCAGTGAAGAAAGCTGGGATGTACTTCCTTCTAAGGGTAATGATTCTCCCAGTGAGAAACCTGTTCTTGTTTTAAGAAAGGACATTGCATTGTGTCATTAGGTGGAACTAGGAGAACAAATAAAGGACAGTTGACCGCCTCTCTGTAGCCAGGGTAGCAAATAGCTAAGATGTTAAGTTTTCTAGTCAACTATTAAAATGTTAGTAAGAGTAAGGCTCATGGAGTAAATACATCAGAAACCTAATGTAGGTATTTTGCTTTTCCGCAATTAACAAAAATGTAGCACAAATCCAGTATCTATGTTTAAGGTGAATATAACTGAGTTAAAACATTTTAAACTAGAAATTAAGGAGTTTTACTGTCATTTAAAAAGAATCCTGACTCTTCCAATGCTGAAAATTTCTGGGTTTTTTACATAATTTATTTTATTTATTTTTTTTGTTGTTGAGAATATACACAGCAGAATATACACCAACATACACCAATTCAACAAGTTCTACCAATACAGTGACATTGATTATATTCTTTGAGTTGTGCAACCATTCTTACCCTCATTTTCTGACTTGTTCCTCCTCCATTAACATAAACTCACTGTCCCCTAAGTTTTCTGTCTAATCTTTCAAGTTGCTGTTGTCAATTTGATCCCATATAGGTGGATCTTAAAACAGCACAATGCTTAAGGCAGACATTTTTTACTAGTTAAGCTAAACTGTTGTTTGGTTTTAAGAAGACTGCAGGGGATATTTTTGGTTTAAAGTTTAAAGATTATCTCAGGGCAATAGTTTCAGGGTTTCATCCACCCTCCATGGTTCGAGAAAGTCTGGAGTCCATGAGAATTTGAAATTCTGTGCTACATTTTCCCCCTTTTGATCAGGATTCTTCCATAGAATATTTGATCAAAATGTTCAGTAGTGGTAGCTGGGCACCATCAAGTTCTGGTCTCCTGGCAAAGAGGTCTAGGTATTTTTAAGTAATGCCCTGCATTGTTGTAAACCGTTATAGATTTCAGTCTTATAGTATCTCATTTTATTTCTTTGGGAACTCTATCAAGTGGATAATGCAAGTATTACTATCTCTAGTTTACAAAAGGGAAAATAAGACTCAGAATAGTTAAAGGGGTTTCTCAAAATCATACTGAACTAGTGAGATCAGAGGTTACAACAGAGTCTTCTGACTTCTAGTCTTTTTGTAGTTATTAGTTATTGTCAAGTCAAATTTAACTTATGGTGACTTCATGTGTGTAGAGTAGAACTGCTGCATAGGGTTTTCAAGGCTGTGACCTTTCAAAAGCAGATTGCTAAGCATGTCTTCTGAGGTGCCTCTAGGTGGGTTTGAACCACCAACATTTCTGCTAGTAGTTGAGTGCTTAACTATTTGCACCACCTAGGGACTCCCTGACCTCTAAGTCTTTGTCAAAAAAAAGATTTTTTTTTCCACAATGCCATTCCCTTTATAGTCTAATCATTAATGCTATCATATTATTAAAAGTTGAATTCAGGTAAATAATTTCCTAAATTTAAACACCATATAAATTTCATTCTTCTTCTTAAAGCCACTAAAGTCTTTAAATACTTCTTAAAATGCATACAACTCAGGCAAAATTTATTTTTATGGTCACTATTTCCTCCCTAAATTCTTCACATTCTTAAACTAAGTTTCCATCAAAGAAGATAGTATCTCCTGCCAACTTTAAGGAGAAATGTAAGAGCAATTGTAATAGCCCCTTAAATTTTTAGAATTAAAAAAAAATTCAGTTGTCATCAAACTTTTTAGAAGTAATATATGCTTTTTTTTTCCTCAAGGTTTCTTCATTCTTTTAATTCTTTTTTTTTCTTTTTCTTTTTTTATTGTGCTTTAAGTGAAAGTTTACTCCTCAAGTTAGTTTCTCATACAAAAGTTTATACACACATTGTTATGTAACCCTAGTCGCTCTCCCTATAATGTGTCAGCACATTCCTCCTTTCCACCCTGGATTTCCTGTGTCCCTTCAACCAGCTCCTGTCCCTTTCTGCCTTCTCATCTCATCTCCGGACAGGAGCTGCCCATGTAGTCTCAGGTATCTACTTGAGCTAAGGAGCATACTCCTCACGAGTATCATCTTATGTCTTATAGTCCAGTCTAATCTTTGTCTGTAGAGTTGGCCTCAGGAATAGTTTTAATTTTGGGCTAACAGAGAGTCCGAGGGCCATGTCTTCCAGGTTCCCTCCAGTCTCAGTCAAACCATTAAGTCTGGTCTTTTCATTAGAATTTGAGTTCTGCACCCCACCTTTCTCCTGCTCCATCAGGGACTCTCTGTTGTGTTCCCTGTCAGGGTGGTCATTGGTGGTAGCTGGGCACTGTTTAGTTCTTCTGGTCTCAGGCTGATGCAGTCTCTGGTTTATGTGGCCCTTTCTGTCTCTTGGGCTAATATTTTCCTTGTGTCTTTGGTGTTCTTCATTCTTCTTTGCTCGAGGTGAGATGGGACCAATTGATGCATCTTAGATGGCCACTCGCTAGCTTTTAAGACCCCAGATACCACTCGCCTAAGTAGGATGCAGAACATTTTCTTAATAAACTTTGTTATTCCAGTTGACCTAGATGTCCCCTGAAACAACAGTCCCCAGACCCCCACCCCTGCTACTCTGTCCCTCGAAGTGTTTGGTTGTATTCAGGACACTTCTTAGCTTTTGGTTTAGATATATGTTGTTTTGAATTGCTTAACATTTACTTTGTGAAGTGCTTCTTTGACTTATGAAAAGTCTAAGAATTCAGTTTAAAGATCCAGTTTCTTAAAATACACAAATTATCAGTTTGACTACATTGCTTCAGTGTCATTATTTACACAACCATAGCTAAACATTCAGTTGTGTAGCCAGTTGGCACTTTATCTGAATTTCCTACCTTGAGTGAGATCATCTATATTTCGGACAAGTGGATGAAAACAGGAACTCTGACCTAATAGTATATCCTGTTGGAGAAGTGATCAATTCTAAAAGTATTTTGCAGCAAGCTAAGTTTACTAAGGAACCTATGAAAGAAAAGAATGTAAGAAAGGAATAGAAAAAAAATTACAGTGGAGTATTAGCTTTGCTGGACTTAAGTCATCTCATCTTAAGACATATTTTTGATAGTGAAATATTTTGAGTTCTTGAAGAAAGTGAGTTTTCAGATCTTAGTGCATTCAAATACTTCCCTTGAATTTTGTTAGCTAGACATCATTTTCTCCCATCCCTTATATCTTTTTTTACCTTCAAAAATTCCTATAGATATTGCTCTGTTTTCAGTGATAAGACTCTAAATGACTTGTATGGTTGGGCTTTGTATTTGAAAGCTTTAAATTTTCCATACGTTGAAAGTTACATTTTGTCCTTTTTCTTTCTTTTTTTAAATATATGTCATAACTTTTTTATTTAGGCATTTATAAGTATATAGTTTCTATGTCTACATTTCTAGACACTAATTTTTCAATCTTTTAAGTAATTTGGGGGTTATAGTAAAGGTGGAATTAGGAACAAATATTTCAGAATTTAAGATATTTTTGTTGTAAAGCAAGAATTTCAGTATTTTAGTAGATCTCAGAACATTTCTTAGAAGTTAAAAATATGATCCTACTTATGTTAATAGAATAACTGAAAAATGTCTTGACTGATACATTTCATGGTAATTGCCAGCCTGATGATACTTTTATGATAAGTAGTTGTTAATGAAAATGGAAAGCTACAAGAGCCAATTGTATAGAAATTGTAAAGTGTTATTTTATATTAAGTTTAAAATAAAATGTTTTAAGAAAAGAAACACTACAAAATGCAGCCATTATGGGTAATTGGTTAGTTCCTGTTTGGTACTTTTTTTCATTACCACTTCTAGACATGTAATTATATTGGGAAAATATCTTCTGAAGTATCATTGAAAAAGCATAGTTTACCAAAGTTGTCACTCAATTTCAATCTACATTCCTATAGAAATATTGTGTAATATTTTTTAGCTCTCTGAATTCTATTTTCTATTTCTCCCTATTCAGGTGTTATGTATACGCACACAATATGTATTTTAAAGAAATTATTTTACTCTAACAAAATGCTAAAAGGTGATTTTAAATATAGTTCATTATCTATCAAGTGTCTGTCATTTTTTTTTTCTACTTATTGGTGAATACATGTACAACTAACAAATGTTCTGAAAACAGAATCTGCTATATTGATAAGGGAATTGTTTTTAAATACAATATACTGATAATTGTTACTGCTGGATGTTGAAAATTCTTCAGGTGTAGATACAAAGATTCTGTACTGATATGAATTATATACGGAAGTCCTTGATTCCCTCTTTGTTTAGTTATTATAATTGGAAATTACTTTGATATTCACTACATTCTCAAATAAATGTTTGCTTTTAGTATTATTTGATTTGTAATACCCTCATTTTCTCTTCCAGGAAGAATTTCAAGGTCCTGTAGCAAGTCGAAGTCGGGGGTTCTTTCTATTCAGGGTGTGCACGTATTGTATTTTCAAAAAATCGACAGTATCAAAATTGAAAAATACTTTCACTGTGCATTTATTTACACTAACTCATAAGTTTCAGTTAAGTTTTGACATTTATTTATACTTATTTAACATTAAATGTTATAGTCTGAGATTCACTTTGCTCACTACTTTATTGTTTTCATATAACCACATCTCTGATCTCTTCTCGGATCCACTAGTCATGTTTGTAAACACCGCAAGTGACATTCACCTACTTCACAGTTTATAACCATGACAATTTATGTACAGGAAATGAGTGTCTTAACGTTACATTACTCTTTAAGTTCCAAAGAATCATTAACTAAAGTTTTGATTCAGTAGATTGGAAGAGTTATGACTACTTTCACAAGTTCTTAAAATAAAAAGAATCAACTAAAGTAGAGGCTGTAGGTAGACAAAACTTTGTAATTGCATTTCGTATCTTGTATGACAAAACTGTCTATGAAACATGAGTTTCTTTTGAAGCAGCTATACTTTCTAAAATATGTGCATCCTTAATACATTACCAGAAAGTTTTCATTCATTCTCACGTAGCCACTGTTTATTGAACTTCTACTGGGTGCTGGGCAATGTACCGAGGGCTGGGAATATAAAGGTGGATAAGATTCCACTTTTAAGCTCTAGGAATTTACAGCATAGTGGAGGATATAAATAAGTAAACAAATACAAAGTACTATGCTAAATGTACCTTTAATACAGGGGCTGCTTTCTCCAAAAGAAAGGCACCTAACCCAGGCTGGGGAGTAAAGGAGGTATAGGAAAAGCTTTCTGGGTTGAATCCTGAAGAATCAACAGGAAATGTTTAATGAAATATTTAGCTAAGAAATTTCAACTTTAGTGTAAAGGCTAAGGGGAGTCATAGGGTAAGATTTGCATTTTGGAAAATAACTAACAGCAAATTGGAGAAAGGATTGAAGTAAGGAGCAAGACTGATAGCAGGAAGAAATAATACTGAACAACCGTGACTCCAGTAAGTTAATTTTGGTTCAAATGAAATTAAAATTGTGGGCATCTGTTTTAAAATTTTAGTACCTTCAAAGAAATAAGCAAAATCAAATAGTATCTGATGTAGTGTGGTCCTCAGCAGCTTCAGCATCACCTCAGAATTGGTTAAAAATGAAAATTACAGGGCCCCGCCCCAGGCTTACTAAATCAGAAACTCTGGCTGTGGGGCCCAGCAAGCTGTGTTTTAACAAGCCTTCCAGATGATTCTGATGAACATTAAAGCTAAAGAAATACTGGTCTATATCATTTCTATGGAAATAGGCTTCATTCCTTAGTTATACTGATTTATTTCCAATTTATTATTTTCCAGCCACGCAATGGGAGAAGGTCAGCAGGTTTCAGTTAAAATGGTATGTGTTTCACATTTCAACCCAGTTTGAGAATTTCTGTAATTTCTGTAACATTCATAAATTAAACTATGATGAATATACTTCTATTATGATTGCATGGGTACATTGATTTTCTATATAAATACTACAATTATAAGTGCTGTGAGGGCTTTATATTAAGGAAAAATACCAGTATTTTGGGGCTATATTTGCTTTGCCCATGTCATATATTCCTCAGATGATGCCACAATAGTAATCATCATCATTGATTGTGTAGACATTGACCTTCTCATCCTTTATTGTTCAAGTAGCATATGCCAGGAATTGGGTTCTTATTGTGGTAATCAGTTCCCACCACAATGGGCCAGAACTTACAGACTGAATCTTTTTCTGTCTTCCAGATAACCTACATCAAAGATTATTTATTTATAAAAGCTATGATTTACCAATTGCAAGAGAACTAAGAAACTGGAAAGACATGAAAGCATGACTTTTACTTTATTACTCCCAGTTTCTAATTCAGTACTGGGAATACAATAGACACTTAGTAGCTCTTGACTGGCCCCACATGTTTCATAAATATGTTAATCTTAATACTGTATTAGACTATGAATTTTGAAATTAAACCAAGAGCAGATTGATAAATTTAAAGCATATTAATGCAATTTAAAGGTATATTCTATGAATTTCATGTAATGCTAAATCCAGATTCTATGCTGAACATTTTTCCAAGTATTTCATTCTTAGAATTTATTTCAACCCGAAATATATTTACCTTATGAATATTAAAATTCTTAATATTTTCTGACAGAAACAAAAATCAAAACCCACCACTTCTAACTAAAGAAGATATCAACACTAAAGTTGTACTATATCTAGAAAGTAAAGGTAATGAGAACCCTGCGTATAAAAACTGATGGGACTCTGTCAAAGCTATATTCAGTAGAAAATTTAAGCCTTTAAGTACTACAAGCAAAACAGAATTAACTCAATAAATTAAAATAAAGATTTAACTCAATAAATTAAAATAAACCTCAAGAAAGCAGAAGGAAGAAAATTATAAAAATCAAGGGAGAAATTAATAAATTAGACAATAAGAAAGTAGAAGAATTGGTAAATAAAACAAAATCTGGTTCTTTGCCAAAACAAAAAACCCTAATAAAATAAACTAGCCCAATCAAGGAAAAGCATACATATACAAGAATACAAATGAAAAGAGAGAAATAAAAATAAATAGATATAAAAGAAATGAAAATCATAAAAGAGTACTTTACAAATCTTTGTGCATATAATTTGAAAACTTGGATAACATGGAAGTTTGTCTAGTAAGTAGATGTTAACAAAATTGAACTCAGAGGAAAGAAAAAAAAAAAAAACCTAAACAGACCAATAACCATGGGAAAAAATTGAAAATGTTATCTGGAAACTATCTCCTCAAAAATCCTTAGGCCCAATAGCGCTTGAATTTTTTCAGCACAAAGAAAGAAGAAAATGTCTAAATATTGTTTATGGAGCCAGAATAATACTAATACCAAATACTAATACTAACAAAATATTATTAAAAAAGGAAACTGTGGGTCAATCCTATTCATAAATATCAATGCAAAAATTTAAATGAAATATTAACAAATAGTGTTCAGCAGTATACTTCAAGAATTATATAGCTCCACTAAGTGAGGTTTGCCCCAGCATCCCGAGGATGGTTTAACATTAGGATGTCTATTAAAATATTTCTATCATTAGGAGAAAAATTATATAATCATCTCAATAGATGTTTTTGATAAAACTCCATTTCTGATGTTTTAAATTTCTGATGTTTTAAAAGAAGATCTTATAGAAAGAGATGAATCGTGACATTATTAATATAAAGTCTCAAACAGAGTCAGTAGTAGGCTTGATAGTGAAGCACTTTGAAGTGTTTCCATTAATGTCAGGAACAAGACGGAGATGCTGTCACTTTTTATTTAACATAGTTCTTAATAATGCATTAGCCAATTCAATTAGACAAGTAAGAAATAAAAGATACAAATATTAAAAGTGAAGGAAAAATTTAATATGTTCATAGGGCATAATTAAGTACTTGAATTTTCTAACTATATTTGGTATTAGATTCTGTTTCAGAAGAGGCCTGCTAAGTTATTTTCCCATCAAGAATATGAAAAAACATATTATTTTATATATTTTTTTCTTTCCAAGGAACTCAGAACAAAGAGTTAATGGTAAAGAAACTCTACCTTTTATAATATTACAAATGTATACAGGCATTTAAAAAATGTAAACAAAAATAAGTTAAATGGAAACAAATGTCTGTCATCCTAACATTATACTATTACAGTGCTCACAGTATGAAAAGGAATTTAATCCATGATTTGAATCAATTTGGCAAAAATCTCTCTCTGAAGTTGGGAAAAAGAGCATAGACTAATTTACTTAGGGCTTCATTTTACTTTGCCAATATAGAAACAGTTTGTAATCATTTTTCTTTGTTTTTCTCCTCTGGTTATCTAAGGTCTTACTCTGTCCTGAGTGATTTATATTTACTTAGGAAGTAATTAAAATTAAAAAAACCAAAACCAAACTCATTGCCATCAAGTTGATTCCGTCTCATAGTGACCCTACAGGATAGAGTAGAACTGCCCCAAAGTGTTCCAAGGAGTGGCTGGTGGATTCGAACTGCCAACATTTTGGTTAGCAGCCTAGCTCTTAACCACTGCGCCACCAGGGCTCCAAACATAAAATAGGATAATTTAATTAAAAATATGTGAGGAAATAATACTCAGGAATACTGCACAACTTTTGAAATATTTTATTTATAAATTTTACCAGTATCAATGAATTTTTGGAAACCAGTTTTACTTTAAGTCCTGGAAAATATGGGCATACAGAATAAGTGATTCATCAAAGAAAAAATTAAATAATACATAGCCAGAAATATACAGACTGAAGAACAGCTGGGAAATATCTCAGATGCCAATTTTATCATACTATGACAAATATTTACAGAAATGTCTATATACACACATTATACACACATTCACATACTCACACTTGAATCTAATTCAGTTTTTTCTTTTTATAGGATGCTGACTAATTTTCCACAGAAGCAATGCTATGGAATAAAAATTATACTGACATTTTGTTTTCTTCTAAAAAACAATCCTTGCTAAGTTTACCATGTCTGAGAACCTCTGTGTTGTAAACATTCTCATAAAAGTTGGTTAAGATTATAAACGTTTAATTCCTTGAAAATAAAAAAGCATCTTATAATATTGTTTTTCTTAGTGTTTTAATGATAAATAGTGTATAATAAGTCTGTAAATAAAGATGTTTCTCAGATTCCTGCAGCTTTTGAGAGTACTGATCCACATGCTCTTTTGCTATTTTTACTAAAGTCACTTAGTAGAGAGGTGGGATTTAATGAGCTATTTTAGTATATCCTATTTGGATTTTGGAATAAGTACAGCCAGAATGCTCATTAAAAGCAAGGATAGTGAGACTTTGTCTCATATACTTTGGACATGTTATCATAAGGGACCAGTCCCTGGAGAAGAACATCAAGCTTGATAAAGTAGAGGGTCAGAGAAAAAGAGGAAGACTTTCAGCAAGATCGATTGACACAGTGGCTGCAACAATGGGCTCAAACATTAACAGCGATTGTGAGGATGGTGCAGGACAGGGCAGTGTTTTGTTCTGTTGTACATAGGGTCACTATGAGTTGAACCGACTCTACAGCACGTAACAACATCATTTGGATTTTGTCAGTGACAAAATCTCCAGCTCTTATAAATGACCAGAATACCAGAATAGTTGGTATTCTTAAAATGTGAATACCAACTAAAACTGCACTAGCCTGTAGAATTTGATAAAAATCTATCCAATAATCCAATAAGCAATTTCTTATTTATATACCATAACATGAATTTCTGGTTGCTACAAATATATCAGGGGGCTAGCTTTTTCTACCAACTAGTAGTATTCAGTTTATCTTAAATTGTTTGCTTTAGCCTGCAACATTTGAAAGGCAACCAAACGAAAACCAAAACAAAACCCATTGCCATCGAGTTGATTCCAACTCATAGCAACCCTACAGGAGAGAGTAGAACTGCCGCATAGAGATTCCAAGGAGGGGACAGTGGATTCGAACTGCCGACCTTTTGATTAGCAGCCAAGTGCTTAACCACTGTACCACCAGTGCTCCTTGAAAGGCAACAGGTTTGTCCATGACTAGAAAGAAAATAACTTTAGTAGTAGAGGATCACAAACACACTTGGAAAACTTTTTACATCCAGTCAATGTTTAGTGGATGCAGAAGTAACCTCAGATGGATGTTGAGGTTCTTCTCCACTCTAGGTTCTCCTCACTCCCTTCTGATTTGCCTCCTCAACCTTCATTTTTTCCACTAAGCAGGTTCCTGGCTGAATAGAGAGGGGTGACTCTTTGAGTGGGTAGGGTTAGATCTTTTAGATTCTTCAGAGAAGAATCTAACAAACCTTTAGCTTACTAATGTTGACAACCCATTATAAGTTAAATTTGGTGAATTAAACTTTTTGCCAACAAAGTCCCTGATTCTCACTTCTTGTTAACTCAGGTGAAGAACGTTAGGAAAGAAGGAGCAGAAAAGGATAAAAAGTACATTGTTCTTATTCTTAAAACACAAATAAACAAACAAAAATTGCCTTGACAAGATGGAGACTTGACAGGAGGGAGGCAGTCCTGCTCCAAAGCCACAGATGCATGGGACGTCATTAGCTAGAGCCGTGCACAGTAATTCAACTTGCCTGGATTTTGGATTGTCAAGATAAGAAGAGGCAGTTGAATATTAATTTAGGCTGCAGTTCCCAGGGCATCTCAGAAGTCCAGAGAGTTTTAGACCACTTACATTTTTTAGGACTCTCGGGATATCAAAATAAAAACGAGAAAAAGAAATATTAAAACATGGTCCCAAAAATTGTGGTATATTTTTAAACAAACAAATTAAGGTTAATGTGAAATAACCTTACATTAAGTTCATTTTAAATATTTAACACATTAATGTCTCTTGCACAAACACAACATGATATGCGGCCTACTTGAAATATAGGATTTGTACGAAGTATTCACTGTGCCCTACAGGTGGAGTGGTCCAATGCTGAAGCCAAGTTTAAACTGTGTCATTAAATTCATTTTTCCCCTTCTTTTCCAAATCTTATCAGTATATCTCTGTGACCATGTGTATAACCTTATTTGGTAAAAACATAAAATGTTTTTCCCAAGCTCCTGGCAGTTCCCAGTAAACATCCTTCCCTTAACTTAAACACCAGGAACCCAACTGTGTTGGTTTTCTACCAAAGGCCAGAGCTCTGTCCCTTAAGTCAGTGGGTTTTGAAGATTGAAATAAGAGGTTATGATCTCATCTGAGAATCTGATGAAAGCTGTGGCCCTTAATTCCAGAGGGGAGAAAAATGAACACATACTACAAAATTATGTGTACAATGTGGACTGGGAGTTAGGTATACCCTAAAATCTATCCAAGTATCAGCAATAGACTCCAGTCTAAGAACTATTCCTCTGAAGAGTTCTCTCCCCCAGGATTTTGCTATTTCTCCATAAAGACAGGCTCGGAAGTAACTGGTTGATTGGGTGGTGGTAGAAGGAAAAGTGGGAGGACTACCAGGACAAGCACCAAACAGCGAACAGGAAAGGCAGTCCTTGAGATAGATGTGACCGGACCTGGTACGTTAGTACCCACAAACACCCCAAAGCTATGCCTCCGCGTTGCCTGGCAACGAAGCTGCGCCCGGCACACGCCCATAGAGAGCCCTTGTTCTCGGATTCCCCGTCCCGCGGGCGTTTGAAACGGCTACGCCGGCTGGGGGCTTCGCTTCCCGCCTTGAGGAGTCATCGGGTACTGTGGCCTAAGTCGGGAGAGCCTCACCAGAGGCCGGTGACGTGGGCGCGTGAGCGGCGGAGCGGAACATCATGCAGGTGAGGGCGCTTGGCCCACTCGGTGAGCCCTGGGGCACCTGAAGGGATCTCTCTTGGACCCGAAGCCGAGGGGCAGAAGTGGGGAGGGCGGCCCACAGGGATTGAATTCTTACATCCGTTTAAGAGCAGAATTTTTCTTGAGTCTTTATTTAGATTTGAGAGAAATCTGAATTAACTCTAGGAGAACACCATTTCTTTTTTCCACGTTCAAGACTTCGATATGTCAATGGAGGAAACTTTCATAGTTGTTTGGGAGTGCTTTTCACACATTGATCCTGGAACTCATACTGCGGCTCTATTTCTAACTTGAGAAATAGGCCAGCACTTTTTGCCTAAGTGTAATTCAATTTAATTGCCCTTCCCCACCATCTAAGGTGTCCTGGTGACGAAGTGGTTAAGCGCTAGGCTGCTAACCGAAAGGTGGGTGGTGGGAACCCACCAGTGCTCTGGGGGAGAAAGATGTTGCACTTTGCTGCCATAAAGATTTCAGCCTAGGAAACCCTGTGGGGCAGTTCTTCTCTGTCCAGTAGGGTCGCTATGAGTCGGAATCGACTCAACGGCAGTGAGTTTGGTTTGGGTTTGGTCCCCACCACCTTAAGAAAGGTCAAAAATGGAAACCCTGGTAGCATCTGCCTTGAGGAACACCAGGAGTTTCTCCCTGGTGTTTCTCCTAACCAAAAAACAAACAAACAAAACCATTTGCCATAGAGTAGATTCCAACTGACGGTGACCCCATGTGTTTCAGAGTAGAACTTCCGCTCCATAGGACTATCATTGGCTGTCATCTTTCTGAAGTAGATCACCAAGCCTTTCTTCAAAGGCACCTCTGGGTGGATTACAACCACCAACCTTTCGTATTTACAAGCTGTCTTCAACTTCCTTTTATACCTTAGAAAGCCCCTTCCCAGTCTAAAGCTTTCTTACTGATCAGAAGCCTGTACTTCTGTTTTTAGCAGAGTAAAATTCTCACTTTTGACTTAAACCTACTCCCCCAAGTTAAAACCACTGTAATTTTTTCCTGTTTTACATATTTAATTTTGATATTTGTATAAACTGTATTATTTATTAGGATATTTGGACAAACAAAAACCAAACTCATTACTATCAAGTTGATTCTGACTCACAGTGACCCTACAGGACAGAGTAGAGCTGCCCCACAGGGTTTCCAAGGCTGTAAATCTCTACAGAAGCAGACTACCACATCTTTCTCCTGCAGAGCGGCTGGTGGGTTCAAACCATTGACCTTTCGGTTAGCAACCAAGCGCTTATCCATTGCGCCATATAATTTTGGATGAATAGGTCTTTCATGTTAATAATAGATGCCTAGTACCTACATTTTATTGGTAAAAACATTGAAAATTTGTCCTGGCTTGCACTTGCTCGTAAAGAACTAAGCTGAAATGGAATTGAAAGTGAAGTCAACAGCACATTAACTGTAGTTTGTTTATTTGTTCATTGATTTATTCAAAAGCTATTTATTTAGTACTTATGTTTTACATGTGGTCCTGTTCTAAGAGATCTTACTATGAGGTAATAAGAGGGAGACATGCAATTGAATAAATGCTGTAGCAGTTTGAAACCTGTTGCCGTCGAGTCGATTCTGACTCATGGTGACCCTATAGGACAGAGTAGAACTGTCCCACAGGGTTTCCAGGGAGTGCCTGTTGGATTTGAACCGCTGAGCTTTTGGTTAGCAGCTGAACTCTTAACCACTATGCCACCAGGGTTTCAACTCAGTGGGTTTCGTTTTTTGTATTTTTCTTGGTAGTAGTTTGAACAAATAGATTGTGGTACCTATTTCTATTATAAAATTTCATAGATAATTTCTAAAAACGAAGGCAAGAACAGAATATAGAGCATTTACTGTTACATTAAATCCCATTGCAACTAACTCCTAGATCAGTTAAGGAGGAAACAAGGAGATGTGAATAAAAGCATAACAACATGGTGTCATGAATATCAAGAAAAAAATGTTTCAAAAGAAAAGAATGACTAACTCTCAAGTACTGCTTCAAAGATCAAATACAATGAACATCCAATTGGAAATAACATTGTAGAGCTCATAGGTGACCTTGGCCAGAGCAGTTTTTATGGAGTATTGGAGGCAGAAGCCAACTTGGAGGAGTTGAAGAGTGAACAAGAGATGGAAATGGTTACAGCGTATGTAGACAATTTTTTAAAGAAGTTTGGCCATGAAGGGGAGAAGACAGGGTGGTAGTAGGTATGAAGTGCAGGGAGGGTTTTTTAAAAGGATAATTGCTGGAATTTGTTTCTTATACTAATGGGTTAGGTTATTTGGACTAACTC